GGAACTGTCAGTCCCGTTGTTTTCTCCTCCAGATTGTTCATCCAGCCTGTCCTATCCAGTCTTTTTAATGGCCTTTGCTCTCTTCATGTATCAGGTTGTCATGTCGTCATCCCACAGCTCATGTGATCTTCAGTCTCAGTGCTCAACGCAGCCAACAGATTCCTGAGACAGCCTCTAAACGCACGTGGAATACACTCATTCTTTGGCTACACTGGACTGGTTTTAATTTATTTCAGCTTCAACTTGAATTTGCTTACAAGCCATTGATGCTCTATTCCACAGTCAGCCTCTGGTCTTGTTCTGACCGATGATATTGAGCTTCTCCATCTCTCTTACCACAGATGTAGTTGATTTGATACCTCTCCATACCACCCAGCAGGCATCACATGGTTAGTCATCATTTATGTTGTTGAAGAAAAGACCCCCTTTTATAGTCCTTTAGCTAGAAAGGTGGGGTTCTTTCTCACTGTGGCTGCTGTTCAGATCACTGATTTGGCCCATCCTTGGACCGAAGATGATCGATAAAGGAGAAAACAAACAGGAAGCTCATGGTCACTGTAGTGGTCACTCTTCAAATTCTTACTTCCCCGTGTTTCACTTTTCAGAATCTCCAAGTAGTTGCACTTTTTGCTTTGTGCAGGGATTCTTGTCGTGGTCATTGGGGCGAAATGCACACTGCGCTTATCCCCTGTTGGCCTGGAAGTTGGTTCATTTTAACATTTAGATTCTTAAAAGTATACACTTTACTCACTTACTATTTTATTATCCAATATTTCACATTCACAACAATCGCCGAAAACGGTTTTGCTCATTAACAACATACGCCTGTCAGTAAAGGATGCTCGGGTACAGGATGAGAGGCACACTGCCTGTGATGGTTACGGTTATGTGTCAACTTGCCTGTGATGGTTACGGTTATGTGTCAACTTGCCTGGGCCATGCTACCCAGTGGTTTGGCAGTTGTATCATGATGTCATCTGACAGTTATGTCATGACAGAATTTGCCAGTGATAGAATGATGTAGTCATCCAACATTTTGTGACCTGTTCTGGTCATCCTCGATTTTGCAAAATGTTGATTTTTGCACAACCAGCTGATCCGAGTGAGGAAAGGTTGGAGTTTGGAAGCTCTGAGTGTGCGGGTTGGAGTTTATCAAACGTGTTTACTTCACAATGATCTGACTCGGCTGTTTATTTAGGAAAACTTCAAAATCTTCAGGCCTTTCTTCATAGGCTGGTCAGAATCCGCAGAGAATGATTCTCCTGTTGCTTGCTTGAGAGTAAAGCACTGGCAGCCCAGTGAACAGCAAAACTGGAGTTGTTAGTAGGCAGTACCCTCAGTACTGCTCTGTTGTTAGCATTGCTCTGCTCCCGCGACTTCACCTAGAATCGCCCAGAACACCAGCACTCT